GCTGGAGCTGGAGCTGGGGCTGGGGCTGAGGCTGGGCTGGGGCTGGCTGTGGCACGGGCATCGCAGAGGGCAGATGGGAGGCTTGTGTCAGCTGCACCTGCGCTGTGATCCTGGCTCCAGCCTTTTATGGAGGTGGGGCCTCAGGCAAGTGGCTTAGGCTGTCTGTGCCTCAGTTTCCGCACGTGTAACATGGGGTTAGCACCTACCCTGCAGGCCTGTGGCGGGAATGGAACAAGATGGGGCGTGGCATGCCTGGGGCATAGTCACTGCTCGGTAAATATCATTGAGCAGCATCGTCCGGAGCCTTGCCGGGCACAGCCCTGTTTCAGTCAATATTTGCAACAGGAGGCATTGATGGGGTGCCGGGCAACAGCCCAGGTGCGGGTGGCAGGGAGAGGGAGCCGGGCAGGAGAGCAGCGGAACCAGGGGTTTGGCAGCCGGGCAGGGAGCGTCACAGGCGTGAATAATCCTGCCAGGAAGCGTGAGCGGTATCGGTGCGGAGAGAGCGGGAGTTCGGAGGGGAGAGTTACAGCCGTGTTAATAGCTCACTGGGTTTTTTAAATGGGATTTGATTGAACACAGCCCTCTGGCTAAGGAGTGCGTGATGTAGAGAAGGGGAGGATGTAGGTCAGAGGGAACTTCAGGGATCAACCTCCTCATTCCCTGAGGGACAGGCTGGGGCCTCCGGGGGCTGAGCCAGGGTGCTAGACTCCGCTGCAGTGGGAGTGTCCCCTGGGGAGTTGGGCTTCAGTGGAGCTGGACAGGGCTGCCGCCCGACAAGCACTCCATCCGCACGCTCTTGCTCACCAGCACGGTGACCTCCTCAGGGAGATCACTGTTTGCTTCCTTGATAACCGGCGGCACTAATAAGTGATTGCAGTAAAAAGATAATAACAGGAAATGAGGCTGGGCCCCGCAGCAACGGTTCGGGGGTGGCTGGAGTGAGAGGCCAGTCCCGGTTCGGGGTAGCTGGGGATGGATGTTATAAAACAGGGGGCAGGTTTTAGGGAAGCCGGTGGGGGTGATGAATCATGAGGCGGCCGCAGTGGGCAGCCTGAGGGGTAAGGGGGCTTCAGGGCAGGAGCAGGAGCCCCCAGTGGAGGGACAAGGTCAGCCGGGGAGCCTCACTCCCTTCCCACCTCTGCTCTTTGCCTGCGCCCATTGGTGGACCCACAGGCAGACCTGGGGGTGCGGAACGTTGATGCGGTTGACGCTGGTCAGCCTCCGGGCACAGATCGGGGTGGAGAGGGCAGGGGTAGGTCCAGAGGGGCGAGTGGAGATGCCTGAGCAGACATGGAGCAGGTGAGCGAGGCTGGCATTCGGGGTGTGGGCTGAACGATACAGGAAGAGGTGGGGGCCCTGGGGTCAGAGTTCAGAGCAGGAGGGTCTCCAGAGGTCAAAGAGACTGACCCCGTGTCCGAGAGGCCGTCAGCACCATGTCCAGCCTTCAGGGGTGAGTAGCAGGGCTCAGCCACAGGTACTGTTGGCGGGGGGAGGGGAAAAACCCCACCCCCGCCCCGCCACCCCTTCTTGAGTTCTTGGACTCGCGATAAAATTGGCACAAGACCAGATAAGCAGGAGAAATACCAACTTGACGTGTGTGCATGGCAGGCCGTAAAAGATGACGCGCTCCGAAATGATGAACCAGCCGTCTTTTTACATTTTTTAGGCAGAGAAACAAGACATTTGTGAGGAAATGGCAGGACGAAGACAGTTAGGTTTGGGCTCTCATTCCTGAGGAACCTAACATATCTGGGCTTGGGCAGTATGTTGGTGAAACTGGACAAGCTTCCTTAAGCAAGCTTTTCGGCCCTGGATTCCCTGACTCTGGTGATAAGGGCGTCTCTCAGCCGCCCTGCAGCCAGGGGGCACTTATCATGGAAGAGAATTCTTTCCCACAATGGCTGCTTGTCAAGTAAGTTTAATTCCAAGTCACCGATATGTCAATGTGGGGCATTTGAGGTGGCGGCAGAACCCCCCGCCCCACCCGCACGCAGGCTTCACGCTGTTTGGGGAAAGAGAAGGTGCACTCACACATATCGAGGTCCTACTTCTTGCCGGTTCTCTGTGTGACCCCAGAGGAAAGCCTCAGGAATGGAGAACGTAGAGAAAAATCCGGGCCCCTCCCTATGGACTGGCCCCGGGATGGAAGGCCGCCTTTGCGGGCAAACAGAAAGCCATCGCCACGACGGGCTCATTGCAGGCGTCTGCAGCCGGGAGATGCACCCCATGACCAGCGGGGTCAAGTGTGGGCCCAGGGTTCCCCCAGGCAGGGCCTGACCCCGGCTCGCACAGGCCGCAGAAGGATGAGAGCTCTTTTCGCAGCCCCTGGCTGCCGGTTCAGCTGATTTTAACCGTTTAGGTCATTTTAATGCCTTCCGAGAAAGCTCCGTCTTCCCAGCACCTAAATCTGTCACCACATTTTATGAAAATTGACTCGAGATGTGATTTTAGCCCAGGAAGTCGAGCACTATTTGCATCAAGGCTTGGCAGGGCCTCCCGCTGTCCGGGGGGAGGCAGGGTGGGGAGGGTCCCATGAAGAGTGTGTGTGTGGAGGGGTGATCCTTGCCTCTCCCCTGCCAGGTGGCTGTCCTGGCCAAGGGCCTCTGGGTAAGGAGGAGACGGGTCATGGGGTGTCCCGCTGATGGACCCCTACCACCTCCAGAGCATGTCGCCCAACCGGCCGGCCCACACATCCTGCTAGAGCGCTCAGTCTATTTCGGAGCGACCTCAGCCCCCTGGACATTTAATACCGCGAGGATGACGGCTCAGCGCTAAGCACCGGGAATAATCTCCCCGGAGCACCTTGTGTGTGCCTTCATGTCACTGTGACTCCGTGAGCCTGTGCTGGCACCTGCTGTGTGGCCGGGAGGACGCTGGGCACACGGAGGGCACCGGTCACTGTTCACAGCCAGCAGGGCCCGCTCTAAATCGGGGAAACAATACAGCAGCAGCAGAGCTGGCAGCACTCGCTTCTGGAGCGGTAGGTGCCAGGCTCTGCTCTGAGCATACCCAGTCTCTCACAGAATCCTTGCCACCACCTGGGAAGGCGGTGATATTATGGTTACTCACTATTATTATTGGTCCCATTTCCCGGGGGAGGAAACGGAAGCATAGAGAGGTTAGTGTGGAAGAGGCTCTAAACCAGGGGTGGGCAAACTTTTTGACTCGAGGGCCACAATGGGTTCTTAAACTGGACCAGAGGGCCGGAACAAAAGCATGGATGGAGTGTTTGTGTGAACTAATATAAATTCAAAGTAAACATCATTACATAAAAGGGTACGGTCTTTTTTGTTTTTTAGTTTTATTCATTTCAAACTGGCCGGATCCGGCCCGCGGGCCGTAGTTTGCCCATGGCTGCTCTAAACCATGACATTGTTAAGACGGTAACAGTTACACACAAAGGGCACCATTCCGCTCGTTCCGCGTTCTGCCCCCTTCGATGGACACCGTTAAGTTGGTTTTCTCTTCCACGTGTTCTTTCCCTCGATATT